AACTATTGTTGACTTGATCTAAAGAAATACATTTGTTTCTAAGCAATAGTTTATATCAGTGAAGAAACCTACAAATAAGTTGTACAATTTGACCTTGCAACACTTTTTCAGCAGTTCTATTTTGGTTCGACGACCCCAAATCCACCATCCTCCCTCTCCCCATTTTACGTGTGGAGAAGTAAAAACAAAGGACTTGTTTTAATAATGATACCATGATGAGTGAGACCACAAGTCCTGTTCTAATATTATCAACATGCCTTCAGTTGCTATGCAATGAGAACATGGACCTGCTGTATGCAAACATTCCTCAGTCATTTGCCTTAAATGGGATCATATGGTGCGAGTTCAGAAGTACATATATGATCCAGTAATGAAAGAGGTGGGCATGCATCTGTTCATTCAGTTGTTTCTTTGTCCGTGTGCCTAACCTCACACTCAATTAGGTGCCAGAGCTAGGCTTAATAAAAGGAACCAATGGCCAGTAGTAATGTTGAGAACTTAGGTCAATCCCAAGCTCTCAGCCTCTTTAGTTCTCTCTTTCTGTCACTTTTCTCTTCAACCTTTAGATTCTTTCATTTTTCATTTGGTTGGCTGGTTATAACATTCACTCTCTTCTTCTGTTCTTTCTCCCCAGGATCTGTCATGCTAAAGCTATGTCACAGCTCATATATCCCCCAGCAATCATCCAGAACATGGCTAGTGACCACCATCAACCAACTTCCATCAGACCCCCTCCCTGTTTGTCCCAGAACAGACCACCGCAGAGTTCTGTGGCCAGAAACCAGCTGTGGTAGCTGCATCAAAGTCGAATCCATCACTGTTGAGAAAAAATAGTGTTACGATGATTTAGAGTACCTCGATTCTGTCCTTTTAACGAAGCCCTAACAAAGGGATGATTGAAAACTCTCACCTCTACAATTTGCCGATAAAAACTTGGGATTGCAGAAAATATAAAATGCCTTAAAATATGTGTTTGTTACTTCAGACCTGCAGATAAAACTGGGGGAAAATATCTACAGAAAGCTAATCAATATGTATGAAACTACCAAAACCATCAGCACTGTCCCAGTGCCAAATCTGAACACTCACTCGCCATGTTTAATTAACAGGCTGTTCACTCACAAAATGCACGCAGACCAGAGTAATGTGTGGGAGGTCACTGTGGTCAGTGTGTGGTGGAAACAAAGTGTAGTATTGCCTCAAAAGCACACAAGTTACTGGCCTCACTTGACTATTACTTCTGCTGATCGTCACAAAAACAAGCACCTGAAACACTGACTATGGTCAGTCACTGGACAAAACGGCAGATACACTTGAATAAATTAAGAGTCAAATTATGATGCCTCTGATATTACCTAATTACTAATGAATAAAAAGAATGAGTAAAAAATGAGTAAAAATTGTCCCAAAGTTGAGCATTAAGCAAATTTGAAAGTAAGGAAGGAAACTTGTGAATTAGAGTGGAGACTTAAAGACAGTTGGAGCTTATTTCACTTGATCGACCTAAAAAATATAATATATAAACTGCATGAGTATTAAAAAATGAAGCATCCATACCAACACTAGTCTTTAAGTCACCGTTTAATAGTGTGTGACAGTGTCCTCAAATACTGTATAAATATCAAATATATTTTTTGGGATGTCATAGTTTAACAGGATACCACATGCCTATTATTTGCATTAGAAATTTTGAAGAGATATTCCCATTTCACAAGCTTAATTATTATTTAAGACCCAGCTCATCTCTTCGTTACTTCAGTGGATCTGGGAATTATTTTTATTTATTTTTTTGTGATGGACTTCACAGTTCACACTTGTCGCGAGTCCTGCATCAGTATATTCCGGATTTCATTTTTGATATTAAGATAACAAGACAATCGGGGAGAGGAAACAACAAAAAAAGCATAGCATTTTCTGTAAGATTTATTTATCTGTAAAATTTAACAGGTTTGGAAGTACTGTAACGCAAAGAAAAATATTTAAGAATGTGTGTACAATGTTCTAGCAGCATAGTTCATGACAATATTAGAGGTTAGCACTGCATCACAAACAACCGTATCATAAAAACAAGTAATGTAAATGAGACTGTTTCTAGTAGAAAAACCAGGAGCTTACAAAATGTTTTCAGATTTCTGGGTTAACAACAAAAAACAGCTATTTGGTTGTGCCTTTTGAATTTCTTTTTACATTTATTTTTGTACTTAGCATCCCAAAATCCTACTTTAAGTGCTAGCGGCTGTGTCTTTGAAAGATCTTTCACATATTCTGAAGAGTGTTTTACAGTCTGTCAGCACTGTGAGATTAAAATAGGAGCTGTTGAATTTCCCATGTTGAATTTTGCAATCTCCTCAGAATGGGAATGAAAATATTCACTCAAATGCCCCCCTCGTATGAAGGACACTGACCATCTGTGTTATCAGCTAAACTTCAATATGAAACACCTTCCTCCACTGACAAACACTAACATAGAAAAGGATAAAAAAAAGATATAATCCTAAAATGATACGTGTTTAAAGTGAACAGCACGTTTTTCATGCATCACAATACATAGCTTGGTAACTACCACTTAAAAGTCACAAAAAAGAACAGAATTTAAATGTGCATTCATGGCTGAATAGACTAAAAGTTACACCAGACTGTTATGTTAAAGCACATTTTTTGAAGAACAGAGAACTAAATAGGAAAGTTGTCTGTTTAGAGTTTGTCTTGGTTAAGACTGAATAATTCAGATGAAGTGAAGTTGAAAGGAAACAGAAAGCAGACAGAAGGTGAATGCACACCAGGAACACACAGCCACACCACCCACAACAACCAAGCCCTTTAGTTATAAAGATTATAGTTTTTCCCCCACTAAATACATCCTTGCACTATGCATCATATATTCCCATTTACTCTCCTGCATTCTTAGCCCAAATCCTTCCCCTATTTTTTCTAACCTGCCAGCAACAGGCCAGATGTGCAAATGTTTCTTCCTTGCACTATTCAAGCTCATTCCAACAGGAAAAAAATGAAAAAGGGGAGAGGAATATTTAACTTCACTCCACGGGAGACCAGTTTCATAAATGTTGGCAGCTACACGCCAGTAAAAAAAGGTATCTTGGCTGGCTTGGCTGTGGGAGAATGTTGACAGCATACCAAACAACATGATCCTAATGAGTTGGAAAATCCCTGGCCCTCCAGAGGACTGTCCAGATGCTACCGTCATGAGAAATGCTACTGTTTTATTGAAATTGCCCTCTTCTCCACTTTTTTCAACAAGGAGCAACATTTATTATATGGGCATTAGAGCATCCTAGGTGACATGGCGAGTTTTAGATTTAATTTAATCTCAGCTGCAGGTACCGTTTCTTATACTAAATTCAAGACAGGTTCATTTTTAAGTGTCTTCAGTGACCATGTTTACTTGGAGAGCTAATGTTTTGAATATACATTTGCACACCTGGTATAGAGCTTGTGCTTGAGGCTGAAAGGTACCTACTAGATATAGTTGGGCTCACCTATATACATGGAATGGGTTCTGGAACCATCTCCTTGAAATGGGGAGGGTGCAGTTCAGTAACCTCAGTATTCTTTCTTATTTGCAGATGATGTGTTGGTGTCATTGTGACATGATCTCCAGCTCTCACTGGTGTGGTTTCCAGCAGAGTGTGAAGCAGCTGTAGTAGAGTACTCTGTATAATAGTCAGTCTATGTTCCTACCTTCACCTACGGTGATGAACTTTGGCTAGTGACCAAAAGAACAAGATCATGAATATAGGTGGTCAAACTGAGGTTTCTTCACAGGGTAGCTGAACTCTTCCTTAGACATACTGTAGGTTAAGAACATTGTCAAAATCATCACCAGAGAGCAGATTACTTGGAACCACAAACAAGGTAGTCCCATAAATGGGGCTGAGTAGGAGTGGGTACTGGCAGTGGGCAGACCCTTAACTGGTGGGGTATGGTGTGAGAGTTGAGACTGTGGCAAAGCACCGGTTAAGAGGAGCCAGTTGAGGTGATTCAGGCATCTAGTACAGATGGCAACTGGGCACCTCCCTAGAGAGGTATACCAACAATGTCCAAAAGGGAGGAGACCCCAGGAAAAACTCCTGAACATGTTGGAGAGACTGTCACTCAGCTGACCTGGAAAAACCTTAGAATCTTCCTGGAAAAGTTGGCTGAAAAAGAGATGTCTGGAGCTCCCTGAATAAGCTGCTGCCCACACAACTCAATATCCATCCATCCATACAAACATCCATACATCCAGATTGATCTGGATGGAAGGATGGATCATTTGGAGTCAGGTTGTGGAGATGGATGGATGGATGGATGGATAGATGGATAGATGGATGGATAATTCATTCATTCCTGGATGGATGGATGGATACTTTGTACATGCTGGGTTGTTTGTCCATAATTCTCTAGTTTGTCAGGTTGACTTGTTTAAAGATTTCAATAAATCATGGGTGCACCAGCGCTGATCTTCAGGAAAATATGAGCATGTTGGGTTTTTATTCCATGACTTAAAGATTAAATAATCTTTGTTGTACTTTTTTTAATTACACAGTTGTCGTAGTTAATACATAACTGCTACCCTACAGTAATAATTGAATATATATATACTGTATATATATATTCAGTTACAAACACATGCATCTTCTACGACAACCGTGTACTCTTCTAAAGTATTTACAGTAATCTCAGTAAATATAAATTCAAGGCACATTCAGTCAGTAAATGGAGTTTGTGCTTTTTTCATACTTACAAACACAAATACAATACAACCCATCACTCACAAAGAACAGGATACAAGTACATTTTTATGTACAAAAGACCAGAGAAACATGACTGAGTGTTGCTTTGTCTCATTATTTGAGCTTGTTTACTTTGCCACTGAAAGATTAACAGAAAAGAGATGGATTACGAAGTTGGTTAAGCATGAGAAAAATTTTGTTACTAAGCTGTCATCTACATCAGGTTTGTTGCCAACAACCGACATCTTGGCAAAGCATGCAGCTTACCTGAAACATTGAACACCTCGTTAAGCAGACTTTCACTGAGCACCACAGTGGATCCATTCACCATGCTGTGTGTCCAGCTTTGATAAATCGCTTGGAGCAAGAAAGTTTGGGCCCTTGTAGCCTGAATAGTGAAGTGAGGAAGTTCAAAAATGCATTCTGTCATAGGGACTGATGATCTTTTGTTCCTGCAAGAGAAAGGACAAAAACAACTGGGTTAGATCAAGAATGCCTCAACAGAGTTTATCAGAATGTTATGCTACCAAAAATATATCCGACATTTGCAAATGGATGCAAACACTGGAAAAAAAGAGGCACAGATGGAAACACGTTCTGCACAATTTCCACAAATCCATCAATACTCTATCACCATATAAAAGCTCATTGACAGCACAAAGGGCCAAATAGGTAGAGCTACATTTCAACAGAAAAAGTGGAGAAGTACCATGTGAGGGCCAAGTCTGCCTTTGTTATTTGGCAGGTAGGTTTAGTTCACTGACCCTTCTCTCCTCTTTGTCAAAACTGTGATGATGATTTATGTGAAAAGACATACAACCCAGAAACCTGACTCTGAAAAATAAAAATAAAAAACCTCAGTGGATTGAATATTTCACGTGTCTCCAGTGCAGAATGAGAAGATGTGTGTTTGAGCATGACAAGATGAGCTGAACATTCAGGGGGATGAGGTAACAGCCGTCCGATTCAGTCCACCAAGCTTCCATCCATCAGAACCTCAAAGAACTGTAATCTCATTTATCATCTGACATACACACAAACATTTTTTTTTAAATTCTCTGTTGTAATAGACTACACTCACCATTTTTTCCCCCATTTTTTCCTCCATAACATTTAAAGTCAGTCACAGGCTTTTCTGGTTTATATCCATTGTCACACATGACTTTTCACATATTCACTGTCCTTCCAATCAATGAATCACATCTCAAACCACTTATTATACAATCAATGACTTGCAGTAAGCCACATCAAAAGGGTATTTTAATACACATATATTATCCAACAAGACAGTGTTATGCACAATATACAGAGTGACAGAGGACTTGTGATCAAAACTACTAATCTGGTCTCTTTTCTCACATCTGTCATTTAAACTCAAACCCTCTGCATCCCCAGGAACTTCACTGACAAAACACAGAGAGCCTAAACTACAAAACAAGCCTGATTAGTTCAAATATTTTCTCATTTCTGCTTTAAGAGGTCCTTAAGGATTCACTCTGTACCAAAACACATCCATATTTTGGTATTTGTACGTGAATATGCAGCAAAGTTACATGAAAACATCACTACTTATTGTTTTAGAAGCAAAAAGGTGCCGTCTTATGAGCAGAGCTTTCTATGGAAATAGAACAGTGAGTAATTCCAGAGATGCTGCAGCACGTCAGGACTGAGCATCACAGTTCATTTAATCGCACATTCATTATAGTCTGGTCCCAGTTCAGAGTGTGGGATATGTCATAGGGTCCCTTCTCTTCGCTCAGCAGCTCTGCAATCGTTTAGCTGCTCTGTTACCCTCCCTCTCTTTCTCCAAAATCTCTTTATCTTTCTCTTTCTTCTACTTCTGGGTGGCTCAGCAGGGTGACATGAGCTGTTAGCTGCACACAGGCAGACCCAGAGCTCTAAAAACCGTCTGACATTACTAGAGAGAAAGAATTTGATAAAGACGTATAGAAGAATAGAGCAGGGAAAAATAAACACAGAAGAAAAAGACAGTCCGGATGTGATAGAGTAACGAGTTGCCTTAATACTTCAATACAATGTATTAAAATACTTTCAACTCCGTGGCTGCAAGTAATGCATTTGGCTTTATGCCAACCATTGCAATGCCATGCTTTTCTGCTATCAAATAAAAATCATGTTGTTGGATGCTATACAAGAAGACACCAATCAAACTCATTTTGTGGGTTTATTTTATGCGACTAAATGTGTGCACTTCTTGTGCATGAGTATGTGCGCACGCAACAAGTTACTGCAGTTGAACAAAAGACAGCAAAGACGACGCAGCAAAAACAATGTCCCCACATGCAGAGCAAATGTGCCGGCAAAGCCACTTCAATGAGATGACTGGCAAGGGATGAAAGTTTGTTGGCTTATTTGAGTGTTTATAGCATTTAAGGGGAGCAGTCATGTGCATGTGGTCCCTTAAAACTTTAATTATGCACCTGTTTTTATTATATTATGCCCAGTTCTCCGTGAACAGTATCTTGGATCTAGAGAATAAATGAGAAGCAGAAACCCTCATTAGGGTGTTTTGGGAATGCTGAATGTGAGGACAGCCAGACACATCGGATTTCATTAAGTAGCTGGCACGGTCAGTGTTTCTTGCTGCAGCATGGTAAACAGCTTTCTGGCAGGAAGCTTTTCACTTTTACCACAGGATCTGAGAGCAACAAAAGCATCTCTGAGGTCAAAACGCAGTAGTGTTTGCAGCGTTTAGCAAGAGATCGCGCTGGCATACATTTGGAACAAGCTTGAATAGAGAAAATTAAAAATGCATTTTGCTTTTAAAGAATACAAACCATACTGGAAATCATGAAAGCAGGCTGCTCTCATAATGTGGAGACCCAGCAGAGTTGAGACCACAACCCAGTTTTTTGTCTTTTTAAATTCAGTCCCACCAAGTAGGTTGACACTGTCCATATAATCCCTCTGTATATACACATATGTTTTTAACCAACAGAACAGATAGTGTACAGTATTTTCCACACCATTAACCAAGAAGGGTGCCCCACCTACCAAATCCCCCACCCCCCACTCCGCTCTGCCACTTCCGGACAACGAGCAGAGATTAGCGGCTCAGCTCAGACTAAAAACCACGCACGGTACAAATGTAGCGCACCGTTAAATCAATCAGTATTATTAAAATATGTGTGCATTAGGCCTCTAATCACAATATACTGAGGCTTTGCTCATGTCATAACAAATCAGCATGGTATGCAGGGTATAGGCAACAAGCCTTGGCAGGGCGTTCATCTCTGAACAGGGGGGTGGAGGAAATAGCTCGGATCAGCGATAGGGAAAGAGAGCGCTACCTCTGCTAGCTTTTTAGCTAGTGCATCTGTATCATGCACCATTAGCGCTATGTCAGCGTCGGCCGTTGTTGATGGGGAGGGGGGTGGTTCTGTAGGCAGGGTGCTCTGTTCTGTTGACTGGGCGGGGCGCCCTCCCTGTATAATGGTAGGGGAAACACTGGTATGGGTTTGATTCAACACATTGAAATTCAGTGTCAAACAATCCAACAAACCAAGTTCATGCAAGTGAATTGCGTGAATGCTTACCAAGAATTCTCACTATTGATTTCTCTTTTCTTTCTTACGTATTTCAGCACGTAACTTGTTCTGAAATTTATTCACCATTTCAGCTGTTCATATATCAAAATGTTCCTCTCATTCAAAACATTTCTGCTATGACCTTTGGCAGTTGTGTAAATTTTACTTTTTGAAAAGTTCAGATTTTTCATCTTTTTTAAATTTTGAAAATTAAAGAAGCTCTCCTCACATCTTTCAAACCCTTTGTGGCAATTAAAACCTGCTCATTTCAGCATTTGTTCTGGTTCAGCTGTTTTCAGCTTCTGTGCGCTAATTTCAGCTACTTTCAGCTCCCCCCCCCCCCCCCCAGCTAATTTCAGCTCTTTTTCAGATTCTGCTAATTTCAGCCATTAATGCTCCGTTCAGCTTTTTTCTGTTAAATTCAGTTTTTTTTCTGCTTTTCATCAAATTTTTTAAATATTCTACAAAATTTAGCCTTTTTTCTGTTTTTGTTTCTTGCCAATTTCTGCCTCTTCTTTTAAATAATTTCAGTGTTTTATTATTTTTTAGCCTCTTCATGCTAATTTAATCTTTTTTTATTTTGCTTTTTCAGCTACTTTTTTTTTTTGCAAACTTCAGAATTTCAGAATGCAGCCTCATTTCTGCTCTGTTCAGCTTGTTCTTCAAATTTCTGCCACTATTCTACGGCTTCCTGCTTTCAGCAGCTGTCAGATATTCTAATTCAACTCTCATTAACAGTTTAGTGATGAAACCTTTTCAGCCTGGATTTAACTTCAAATTTCTGCAAAAATCATTCAGCAATAGGCAATCATGTTTTTTTTTTCCACAGTGAAGGCAATTTCCTATCAGTGCACTCAAATTACAGACCAATCTCAAAGCTTCCCTTCCTGTCCAAAATCCTAGAAAAAATAGTTTTTACTCAGTTGAATCAATTTTTAACTGAGAACAAAATCTTTGAGGTCTTTCAGTCTGGTTTTAAGCAACTCCACAGCACAGAAACAGCTTTGGTTAGGGTTTGCAATGACATTTTAACTTCAAACGATTCTGGTCACTATGTGGTACTTGTACTCCTTGATCTTACTGCTGCTTTTGACACCGTCGACCACAGTATCCTCATCTCACGGCTCGAACACTGGGTTGGGATTACAGGAGCTGCTTTAGACTGGTTCCGTTCTTACCTCTCTGACAGGACTTTTTGTGTCAAGGTTGGTGAAAGTCTGTCCACTTCGGTCCCTCTTTCCTGCGGGGTCCCACAGGGCTCGATCCTTGGACCCCTTCTCTTCTCGCTCTATCTGCTCCCACTGGGATCCATCTTAAGAAAACATGCCATCTCATTCCATTGCTATGCCGATGACTGTCAGATCTACCTGCCACTGAAACCAGCCAGTGCTCGTTCCATCCACCCTCTCCTCAAATGTCTAGATGACATTAAGGCATGGATGACTTCAAATTTTCTCAGTTTTAACGACCAGAAAACTGAAATCATCGTCTTTAGTCCTAGCTCAGCTGCCTCCTCAGATCCTGCAAACCTGGACTCACTTCAGCCCTATCTCAAGCACACTGTTAGAAATCTCGGGGTGGTCTTTGACTCGGATTTCAAGTTTGACAAACAGATCAGTTCAGTTCTGCAGAAAAGTTTTTTCCAACTGCGGCAGGTAGCTAAGCTCAAGCCAGTGTTATCCAGACCCAACCTTGAAACATTAGTCCATGCCTTCATCACAACCCGCCTGGACTATTGTAACTCACTTTATGCTGGGGTCAGTCAGGCGTCCATTTCACGTCTCCAGCTCGTCCAAAATGCAGCTGCTCGGCTTTTAACTGGTACACGTAGGTCTGAGCACATCACACCTGTTCTGTCCTCCCTTCACTGGCTTCCTGTGCGATCCAAAATCGACTTCAAGATT